TGAGGAAAATGTTAATGTAATCACGGCTCGTTTATTGTCGTTTTTATTTTCGCAAATAGAGACTGTCAATGGAAACGAAGAGTGGTGCCATGCTGGACAACTTAAACGTCTATTCTAATTGGAAATTGTCAACGCTTTCCCTTGTTACAGAACTAAAATAAATAACGGAAACGTAGATGTTATGGGGACGTTTACTAAAACCTTTTATGAGAAATAATTAATGAACAAAACGACGTTTAAAAAATATAAAAAAATAAAAAAAAAAATAAGTAAACATAAAATAAACAAAACAATTGTTACGTAATTTTTCAGGCATGTATATTTATGGTCTGTTCCAGTACTTTTTTATAGTAAAGCTAGTAAAAGGGAAATATTCCCAAATCGCTCTCTGAAGACAAAATAATTTAAAAAGTTGGGAAACGCAAATCAAGTAAATATGTCACAATTAAATGGTGATACTTCAAAATAAACATAACAGCCAATCAGAAGTTGACATTCCTGTTAACCATTTTTACTCGGACAAATTTTTCGAGTAAAAAGTTTACAAAACTTGTAAAATGTGGTTCTGGAACGAAACTTTAATTTCTTTATTTCACAAAAAATTCGTTTATAATAACCAATATATTCAGAAATAAATATGAACTATGTTTAAACACTTCATGCAATATTTTTTTAGAATTTTTATAGATATAGAAATGACAATTCGGATTCCTATACAGAAAAATTCTTTTTGTTTATATGATTTTTAATTCGAATTTTTGTAAATATATGGATCTGATCGTAAAACTTTTAAATAATATTTATCTTACGCCTTTTTTCCTAAACTTCTCTAGAATTTATTTTCAAAATAAACACTCATACAACATTTTTTTTATTATATCATTTAATTTAACTTTATTTTTAATTTTAATTCCTTAATGCAAACTAATAAAATACTAAATTTCTTTTGTATTTATTTTCTTAAATTCTAAAGTCGGTTGGTTTTTTGGTAGATTTTTTTCCTCAATCTTCTCTGATCTTATATATCGAAAGCATCACCGGTAAATTCCACTTCTGAATTATTAGTCTCACCGTAATTATTGCCCGAATCTTCATAGGATGAGGTTGCCTGTTGCTGACTGCGTCCACCGAATTTATTCGCTCCACCGTATTGTGTGCCCTCATCAAACTTTCTACCGGTGGGACGTAGTTTAGGAGGTTCGAATGATTGCTGGTTATTCGAATTGAAATCGTAATTTGTGGTATTTGCATCGTTGCGATTGTAATTGGTTTTACGTAACATTGCCTTGAAGTTATAGGGTGCTTCCTCCGAGTCCTAGTGAGGAAATGAACAAATTAAACAGAATTTTCAAAAAATAATATTTATAAAACAAATATTACCCCATAGTCACCACGATTTCCCATCATATTTTGCAGTTCTTGTACGGGATTTTGTGATACCGGAGGATAGGAATTGCGCATATTATTCTGTTGCCTATTTGGTTGGTACATATTCGATGGCATTGGCGGAGGTGGTGGTGCTGGATAACCCTTTAAGCTATTACGTCTAGATCCCCAACCTCGTGGTTGTGAATTATAATTGGGATTGTAATAGGAATTGTAGTTTGGATTGTAGTTGTTCATTTGCATTGCAACTTGATTTCTGGAAAATATAACAAATTTGTGTAATAACGATGAGTCCACATTCCACGTTTCCCATTACCTTCTCATTAAGTGTGGATCACGATAGAAATTTTGATTATAAATTACATCACTTTCACCCATACGCTCCCAATTGGTCTGGCAAGCCTGTTCCTTTTTGTAAGCATTATATGTTAGTAGTTGTGATGTCATCGACGGATTCCTTTGCAGTGGGCTATCCCATGGTTCTTCATCGTACATATTGTTCATTACGTTTGAAGTTGACGGTATGGATTGTCGTGCTAATGAATTTGCTGGATCCACCATATATTGTGTATCGTAAAATGGTATTTGATCCAAACGTATGGGTATTTTACGTACCGCTACCTATAATATGAACATTGGTGAAATCTTTTGTAATGAATCATGGGAATGAGCGAATTTACCGGCATTGGCCCTAATTGGGCTGAGTTCACTTCTTTGGTATTGATGCGATCAAATGGTACAGCACGAGTACACTTATTTAAACCAGCAACGACACGTTGATTGTAAATATGAACCTGTGAAATAGAAAAATACAGTTATATAAATACTACGAGGTCGATTCGGAAACTTCTTAGCCTATCATAAAAGCAATTAATCGGTTCAAGTACAATAAATCAGCAGTAGCCGATGGGTTGGTTACCAGCCGAACTATTCAAGACTGGTGGTCAGATGCTGCTCAGGAGCATGCACCAGCTGATTAGTACAATTTGGCAATTTGACTTGGAATGCATTCCAATGATTGTGTCCCGAGACAAGATGATATGTGCCAACTATAGAGGAATTAGTCTTCTTCCCATCGCATGTAAAGTGCTATCCAGTGTGCTTTGTGAACGACTGAAGCCAATGTCAATGACATTATTAGACCATACCAATGCGACTTCACACCTGACAAATTTACCATTGACCAGATATCTACTCTGCGCCAAATCCTGGAAAAGACCCACGAAAAACAGATCGACACATTCCACCTATTCGTTGACTATAAAGCCGCATTCGACAGCACTATCCGTTCAGAGGTTTTTAAAGCCATGTCTGCGTTCAGCATTCGTGCAAAATTAATTCGGCTATGCAGGATAACTTTAACTGCTAAAGTCAGAAAGAGGCCTTCAATACCGAACGAGGATTCAGACAAGGTGACAGTTTGTCTTGTGATCTTTTTAAAATCCTGCTAGATAAGGTCATACGAGAGGCAAAGGTGAACAGAAATGGAACTCTGTACACCAAACAACACATGTTATTAGCCTACGCCGATGACATCGATATAATTGGTCGAACATTGCGAGCGGTGACAGCCACCTTTGAACAAATTTAAAAGGAGTCTGCCAAAGTCGGTCTGGCAGTAAAAGGCGAGAATACCAAGGTGATGGTATCAACGCGCAAGACGACCAGCTGAAACCACTCGTGAGGTTATATGCATCTGAAGCATGAGTACTTACGCTAGCAGATAAGTCAGCTCTTGGAGTGTTTAAGAGAAAAATTCTCCAAAAGATATACGAGCCGATCTGCGTCGACGGTGAATATCGGCGTCGAATCAACCATGAGTTGTACCATCTATTTTTGGACATTGGCGTTGTCAGACGTATCGAGCAGCAGCGACTACGTTGGCTTGGTCATATTGTAAGAATGGATGAAGATCTCCCAACTCATAAAGCATATAAAAGCGAACCAGCTGATGGTTATACGCAGAAGGGTTAGGCCAAGAATTCGATGGAAAGATCAAGTGGAAGACAACATTGCCGAATATGGTCTTTCAAATTGGAAAAACTGCGCAAAGGACCGACGCGCCTGGAAATCTTTTTTAAGCTCGGCTTATGGAACGAAAGATCTGTCAATAGTACGACAATTTCTAAGTTATACACCACATTTCATTAATATCACATCTATTTTCGTTTCTCTACTCTGATTGCACTGAATTTTTCCTCCCTCTCTTTTTTGACAAAAACACCACTATTCATTGCTCGGCTGCGTTTTTTTGTATCGTCCTCTGCCACCTTACTTGTGGTTGTTATTTTTGCAACCGTTTATTTGACTATTGTTTCTGTTGCTAACAATCTTCATCTTTCCACTCACTCAATTGTGTCTAGATTAGCATTCCATTACCGACCTCCACATTGGTGTTACAAAATTCGCATATGTATTTTCCAAATTATTTCGAAATAAATGCATCAAGAAAGTGTTGATACGAACAACAAAACCAACCGAATAATTGACATTGTATATGATTGTTCTAAGGCAGAACATGAACGAAAAAAGACATAACGAAGAAAACAAAATCAGAATGGAAAAATTACCATAGAAACCCGCCAACACCATTCTAAAGTTGGTTTTTTCACACTTTCTCTGACAAGAAGCTAGATTTATGAATTACGTTCATAAAATACAGAAATTCCGACATTAACAACACTTTCTGAACACTATTCATATAAAATATGAATTATTTTTTCTGTGTAATATTGAATAAGAAAACTTTCGGATATTCAAACCTCACTCACCTGTTGACAAAGGTTAACAAATTCTTGAAACTTGGCTGCACGATAATGCAGCAAGACCTGGAACAATGATTTCTCACGCCATTTGCGTACATAGTGACGTATAAAATCGGCTGTTTCTTGATTCACATGACCATTTTTATCCACCAATGGGCTGAAACGCGCTTTGCCACCACGATAGCCACGGTAAGCTGGAAAGGCAAGAACAAGAAAAAAAATGCAATGCAAATGAATAAAACGCATTTCAGTTAAAATAAACTAAAAAATAAATTAATGTAGTGTTTGCAAATGGTCGAAAAGAAAGGAGGCAATAAGCTGCGCAGCGTTCGGCAATACACGGGTCAAGGTTTTTATGCGGTTGATGGCGTCATAAGGCGCTAATTTAATTAATTTTTCATTTATTTTCTATATATTCACACACGTGTACAATTGTTGGGCGTGGGGTGAATTTTGGCGGGGTGTCGGGTTGACATTTTAAATGACAATGTGTCATATCAAGGTTTTCAAACACATTCAAGTTTTATGTTACGAAGCCCCATATTATTTAGGGGGGTATTATTGTATTTTCCATATCCCCTTAGATCCCATGTATTTTTTTTTCATTTTTTATGTTTCTACATTTGAACAGCTTGTAATGACGCTGATGATTGGCATAGAAACATTGTAACGTGGTTTTTCTCAAATTTATTTGGAACAAAATTAAATATATGTATGTAAGTATGTTTGTTTAGATATTATCATTAGGTTTTGTTTTTTAAGTATATTTATGCATATTCGGATTGAAAGTATTTTTTTTCTTTCTTCTTCTTTCCCGCCATAAATATTTGGACGTTGAAAATACGTCAAATTTTCTTATTCATCTTCCTGATCGAAAACCATGCTCTCGCGCTGAGAAATGCGTGCAGCAGCCAAAGCCTCCTCCTTACGGGATTCTTCGAAATTATCTTCGGCCTCTGAGGGAGTTTCACTAACGTCTACATATTCAACATCTACACCAAGATATTGATCATTACCTTTTTGTATTTTAGCGGCAGCAACGTCATGGGTACCGGGAGCTTTGGCTGTAGTAGGGGGAAAAATAATGTTTCGATTAATAAGTTTTGGGGAGGAGTTTTTTGTACGCCACATACCTGCTGCTGGCTTTCCTCCGGTTTTGACACGTTTTCTTGCCAATAGGGCACGAATCATCGATTGGACTTTAATGATTTTCTTTACACTTGTTTCGTACAATCTGAAAAGAGAAGAAATTTACAAAGATTTTTCAAATACATATAAATTTTGTCGTGTTCTTAGGCGCATGTTTTTTTTTTTTTTTTGGTAAAATGTATTTTTTTGCAGAGTCGAACTTTGCTACTGTATTGTTAAGGATATAAATAGCAGGTTTAAGATAATTTAGATGGTGGTATTGCCATGTTTTGTGCTCTTTTAAATCAGTGCTGAAAACAACTAAATTGAGAGTAAGTGTGCGAGAGCGTAACTGAGAGATAATCATAAAAAATGGCGGTCGAAGAGAGAAAACATGTTTAGCCATCGAATTATTTTGTGCATGAGTGTACTAGATCATCGAGAAACCTGTACGGCGAGATGGGAAGAAGTATAAATAGGAGAGCATGACAAGGCAGTGAATTACGCTGATGATGTATTCCTTGCTCCACAAGGCTGCTTTGGGAGCACTGTGGAAAGAAGATTGAATGTGTACTCATTGTTGGAAAGTGTGTATCGGTGGTTTTCAAGGGCAAATCCAAGTCTATTGCGAAGTGCTTACGAAAATACATTTCAACTTTAAAGGTTGAAAATTGATTCATAGGAGCGTCAGAGAGAATGAAATACCTTGGGATCGTCCTGCACGAAAGATTCGACTTCTGTCATCATATGGATTATATGCAATTAAAGGCCAAAAAGATTAACTTTACTTATCAAAGAATCATTAGAATGCGAGGAGGACTTTCTTTGGAGGCAAAGTTGCTAATATACAAGCAAGTGATTCGACCCATCATCACCCACTCCTTTGCTGCATGAGCAGACATATCGTCATCATGCATAGGAATGAGACCAACAATGGATAGTAATGTAACTTGTAGACGTCCGGCCAATAGGAACATCTACCATGCATACGACTTCAACCGAATCAATGTCTGCATGATGAAATATGCCTTAAACTTCCTGGAAAGGAGCCAGTTTGTGGAAAATGGAATAGTGGAGCAATACCTGGAGTACAACGAGGAACTCCACTCTATACTTAGAAGGAATCACCTCCCGCTGCAGCTTTGCTGAAGCTGCGAGACGGATGAATCTTATACGATTAAGATGACCAGTTGATGTACTATCATCGGAGGTACCACAGATTTGACGCCGATATTTATAATAAAATATAAATTGTAAATAATTCAATCGTAAGTTTAGATTTAAGGTAGTCCGATTTAAGGAACATTGAATGCACACTACGTGTTGGAGGGTATAACAAGTTCGGTGCTACTGGGTGCTATGTTTTAGTGCATTTTGTCCGTCCATATGTTTTTTGTACCTATCGAAATTATTCATCATTAGTGATGAAGTTTGGTGCAATGCAATTATTTGGCCCAAAACTAAAACATATTGATATATTGACAGTTCGGCCATGTCATGTCAAACAACAAACATTCAATTTTGCCATATTATAACAAAATTTTCCACATATAATTTAATTTTGTATTGATGAACATGTGTTCAGATGGGTTCCGCTTTAGAAATACGTAATTTATATAAAGACTTTTAAAAATCGTAAGACTTGCCCTCCATATACGAAAGTGGTGTAGGTTAGTATCCCGCTCGTTTCGGTCCTTTTCTTACATAATATATTTGGAAAAATATTACTTACCTTGCCAAGAATTCATCATTGTAGTAGCGCAAGAACACTTTAGATTTTCCAATGTCCCATCCTTCCATTTTCAGACGAATCAAAAGTAGACGGCAATTTTCACGAGTTATATCAACAGTTTCATCGAAATCGAAAGCCAAAAATTGATAACTACGGAAATAAAGAGACACATTTCAATCATAGAACCTTAATATTCCTATATATTCCAATTTACTCACCGCTTTAGAAATTCTTCATAGGTCAAACGACACGAATAGCCCTGTTGGCGACCAATCACTGTGTCCACAACACCTAATGCCTTCATTTGCTGCTGCACCATATCTCTGTGGAATGCCCTCGGCTTGTATTCCAAATCGGCACGAATACATCTAACAAAATGGACGCCAATATTTGCATTTTGGCTAAGAATTTTGAGCATGGTCAAGCATGTATAACGGAAATTGGCAGCCATTGTACGTAAATTATTGACTTGGGATATGACACCGGTCGACAAGGTATTTAGGGTCTAAGAGATGACTTGAATGAATATTTAAACCAATGAAAAAATATTTGAAACACCTACATATGATCTTCTTTGTGAATCGTCAGCGTGCTGAACACTTTCAAAATTCATTGTCAAATTACCAGCTTTGGTTAGTTGATTGGTGAACATAACCATAACATTCTCATCCATTGATGAACGGAAAGCCTCAATCATTTCGGGTGGCACAAAGTCACGATTAATATCGGTAAAGGCACGTGTATCATAGACAATGCGTCCGGTATAATGGGCCACGGAGATTTCTGTGGCAGTATGCTTCTTAACAAATTGACTGCTCTTCTCCAAAACGCGATCTATAAGGCAATTTTATAAGGAAACTGAAGGGAAATCTTGAGATATTTCTTAACTTACCCATTATTAAATCTTGATCTTGACTCATGCGTGAGGCTTCATCAATAATGTAGAATAGTCCATCGGGTTTAGTGAGAAGATTATCCAGAGCCGTCTTATTGTCATAGAAATTCAAATTGATTGGTGGTAAATCATCAGCTTCCTATAATAACGAGTGGGAAGGGGAATATTTTTAGTTAAAGAGAGAGTGTATAAAACAATACGAACATTTTTTCTATAACAACTTGTCTGTCTCTTTCAATCATATGGTCTGCCATTCTAAAAGAGAACCCTTATTGTCCTGTAAAATATTCTTTAAAAATCCACGCTTGATCCTCCAAAAAATATTCCTTAAAAATCCACGATTAATCCCTTTTTGATCCTCCATAAATTATTCTTGAAAAATCGACGTATATTGTTCTGTTCTGTAAGAAGGTCCTCAGACATGTAGTAGAATAGGTTAAGGAAATATGCTATTTTAATAAGACGATTACCGGATACTAATTGATATTGCAAAATGCAACCCTGTGACGATGTAAGAAAAGAACTGAGAGAGAGATGATGAAATAAAATAAGATGCCATTTATGCCACTTAAAAGCTTACAACGTCGGATGTTCAGGTCTAATGAATGAATATAGTATAAAAAGGGCTGAAGAAAAAGCGAAGAGATAGGCGATTTTGTGGTGATTCGGAATTCGGCTAAACACTGTACGCGTAAACAAGAAATTATTGCCTAAATTCGAAGGAACCCTATGTGATTCCCAACGATCGGTACGTTATTACGAAAATTCCCTATAATGGTGTAATAGTGTAATGGCTGGTCGGCCTCGTAGTATTGTTTATATTATATATGTTGATAATGGTCAGGTGACCGGGTCAGGTTGGCAGAGCTGCAGTAGAATATATTAAGGAAAAAAGGTATTGTAATAAGACGATTACCGAATACTAATTGATATTGTAAAATGCAACCCTGTTACGATGTAAGAAGAGAACAGAGAAAATATGATGAAATAAAAGAAAATGTCATTCATTCGAGTGGCGCTTAAAAGCTTACAACGTCGGGTGTTCAGCAGATCAGAGATAGACCTGAAGACGCTGTAGTGAGGTCGCAAGATTATAGTGTAAAAAGGGATAAAAAGAAAGTGATGGGGGTTAACTCATTTGAGGTAGGAGATTTTGTGGTGATTCGGAATGTGGACATAACTGTAGAGGTAAACAAGAAATAATTGCCTAAGTTCAAGGACCATATGGGATTGGGTAAATGATATTTAGAATTGTCAAATTACGCATTGAAAATCCGACGAATCTGGTATGGTCACCCAAGGCTGCTCAGCCTAGCAATAATATTATTTATATTATATATGTTGATAATGGTCAGATGACCGGGTCGGTCACCACCGTCAGGTTGGCCGAGCTGTAGTAGAATATATTAAGGAAATAAGCTATTGTAATAAGATGATTGTAAAATGCAACAATGTTACGATGACATTACATTATAGTTTTTTCTATAAGAATGCCTCTGAAGTATTTGCTTTAAGAATACCTCACTATTCTTCCTTAGAAGGCCTCAGGTCTTTCTCTATAGGAAGACCCAGTAGTTTTCGTTACAGTACATCAGTTCTAATTATCATAGTTAGTTTAAAAGAACCTTCCGTGTCCGTTTCTCTCTCATGAAGAGATCCCAATTTTACCTTACGACCAAAATTCGATATTCTTACCATTTCCAGCATTTCATTGACAAAGGTACGTTGATTGTAGTGGTACTGCATCTGTTCATTGAAGGTGTTAATCATCAGCTGCTCCAAGCCATTGCGGTTGAAACATTCAAAGCCATACATATCATGGATGACAATAGAGTTGGTGTCACCACTACAAAATTTAAAAGTTAAAATTTAATTTTCCCTCAAACATCTACTCCCATCCTTTTAATACTCACAAAACAGCTCTAGGGAATGCCATATTCATGTTAATTTTATTAATCACCCAATCAACCAAACGAGAATACAAAGTCGATGCCACAGCATCGCGAGCATTTCTAGCCTCATCCGTATTATATTGACGACGTTCGGCCACACCGCCCTTAACCATAATGAAATTTGTCAATGACCACATAAATTTCTTTTCATCGACACGCAACAATTCGGCAATACGTGTTATCATTTCCGTATTATCCACCTCGGCATATTTTCCGACTTGTTTAAAACGTATATTGCCAATATTCAGAATGGCAGCCAATATCTTGCGTACACTTTCCAATTGTTTGTGATTGAAGTCGAGATCTTGTAGAATTTTTTCGAACTCCTTGAAACGTTCAATATTGCCGGTCGGATCATCACGACGATATTTTAGTTTACCCTGTGGAGCGTCGGGTGGTACACGCAAATAACGATAGCCACGTTCCGATTTTAGGTTATATTCTTTCAACAGGCCTTCGGAATTTAGATAGTCGAAGAAGTAATAGAAAATGTGGAAATTATGTTGGGTCCTGAAAAAAATGAAATCAAAAATATATTTATTGGGAAATTAAAAAGGATTATACCCTAAGAAAGTTAGGTTAGTGATTGTTATCGTAAATACATATATATCAATATTTTACTTGGAGCTTCGATGCATTTTGCATCGGGTGCATAAGGGATATTCTTTTCCAAATTACTTACATATCCGATGTGGTTACTCGCAACTTCTCCAGCATATACATATTGTAGACAGCTCCCGACATTTTTCCCGTCTTGCCAAATGTCAAAAAGTATTGCATAACACATCTGGTCGAATCGTTGTTGATCGGAGTGCCAGCATTCACCAAGGCCATAATAACCTTATTTCCATTCTCAACACGTTCGGTGGCACCACGATTTCCCGCACCCAAATAACACAAATGCTTCATGAGAAGTTTGACATTTGTCGATTTTCCCGAATAGCTTTCACCCGAAAATACGATATGCTGGGGTTCCTTGTGATGCAACATATCCTGATAAGCGGTATCCGCCACAGCAAAAATATGTGGCAAATTTTCCGATCGAGATTTGCAATTGTATTTGGCATGGAATTCCGGTGGAAATTCATTTTGCAGCTCATTCGAATTCAGCGAAAGTAGGATGTCACCAATAAACGAGTAGGAGTTACCCAATTCCATGCGATTGCGAAGACATTCCAGGACCACATCCTCGGCAGGGTTTTCAATGGCAGCCAAATCTTCGGGGAACATGCGCTCCGGTTTGCCCTCGAAACGTTTGAGGAAGCCGCGATCCACAAGAACTTCAGGTTCACGATAGAAACCTTGGGCCTCACGACTCAGTTCCAAAAGTTCGGAAATGTCATTGCGCATCTGAAAGGGGGGAGGGGAGTGATTTGCTATAAATCAAAGAAACGTTTTTATGCTGAAAGTCCCTACCTCATCATCGTTGTCGAATAGTTCATTTAAAAATGGATGCTCTACCATTTCCACCATCATCGGACGATTCTCCTGATTCTTCTCCAAGCACTCAGCAATGAAATCGATTAGCTGTTGGGACCAATTGCTGGGTTTGAACAGAGTTGGCGGCGGATTACGCACAATTTGGAAGAGGGCACGTGATGGATGCATATCGTAAAATGGTGGTTTACCATCGGCCAATTCAATGGTGGTTATGCCCAAGGCCCAAACATCGGCACGGGTTGTTATCTCCGGATCTCCTGCAATAAAAATGAATTACTTTGAATTAAATTCCATTTATTTCTTAAAGTATTTTGGAATCTTACTAGCTTCCTGGGCCATAACAACCTCGGGAGCCATCCAGCAGGGTGAACCAATGCAGGTGCCACGTTTACCCAAAGTCGAATCCACCTGACGTGACAAACCAAAATCACAAAGCTTAACATTGCCCTGCTTGGTCAACAAAATGTTATCGCCACGTATATCACGATGTAGTACATGATTGCGATTTAACTCCACAGCTGCCCTGCATGTCTCCCGGATTATATAGGCAATGTGCTCCTCACGCATACGCCTATCCAGTTTCAAAAGACGGTTTACCAAATCTGTAGCAGTTCCACCACCACAGTACTGGAAAGAGATTTATCATTAAACATAGTTGAGTGTTATCTTAGAGACACACTTACCTCCATGGCAAACCATATTTCATCGGGACCATTGCCCTTCTCCAGCTTGTAAGCTCCATAAAACTCGGGCAAGTTGGGACTATTGCAATAATCCCTCAACGTGCGATATTCCTCCTCAATGGCCACCTGATGTTCCTCATCGTAATGTTGAATCTTCAAGGCCACCATGCGATCCAATTCTAGCTCCTTAGCTCGGAACACCTTGCCACTGACACCCTGGGCAATCTCCTCATAGATCTCGAATTTATCCGTCGGATCGGGTAATTGGGTATAGGGTAAATACATTTCGATTCGTTTTTATTTTGTTGTACTTTTCGAAAATAAGTTTTCAAATTAATTTTTTATCAGAACAGTTTCCCCGTATTTATCTGGAAATAAAATAACCGAAACGTCCTAACAGTCTTAGATTTGACGATAAAGTGTTTGATTGGTAATTGACCATAGAAGCATTGTGACCAAATTGCTGGGTCAAAAATGTTGAATTTCCTTGCTGTTGTTGTTGCTTTTTTGCTTTTTAATCCCATTAGAATTCGGTTTGCGTAACATCTGAAACCCTACGAATGCAAAACGATTTAAACCTCTCATTGACAGCAATTTTCCCTCGTTGCGATCTACATGTTTTGCGATTTACAGCGTTTTGGTTGCCCTGCCAATGATTCGTTAAATGGTGTCAAAAACACACACCACGCGTAATTGGTTTAAAATACGATTTTTTTTATAAAACAAAAACAAGGCGAATTGCCTTGTAATGAGAGACAGTCATGTATTAAAAATCGAATGTACCTTGGATATCTAATAGAGAGTTTAGGGAGGTTTTAGGGGTAAAAATTGTCAAATTACTGCTAAGCAATAACCTGAGATTGCAGCTCAGCAGAAAACGTGTTGTTTGGGGAAATTGATATATATGTTCTTTTGACAAATATATTGGGTTCCTACATGCCAAAGAACAAGAACAAATGTGAGCGTAAGCAAATCGAGATGTACAGGAGTCAGAATGAAGTCCGGAAATTGTACTAAAGAGTAAAACACCAAACCGAAGTCTTTGGTGCAGGCACATCCTCCTGTAGAGATAAAGAAGGAAACCTGGTGAGAGATACAGATAGTATGTTGGGGATCTGGAAGGAGCATTTTGAAAAGCTTCTGCTATCAAATAGTGGCGGTGAAGAAGATATCCCAGAACCAAAATAAGAGATGACGGTATATAGTGCATACCACATAGCCAAGATGAGGTCAGAATAGCAACTAATCGGCTGAAGAACAATAAAGTAGCAGGTGCCGATGGATTACCTGTCGAACTATTCAAGACCGGTGGTCAGATGCTGGTCAGGAGCATGAATCAGCTGATTAGTAGAACCTCAGCATCCTGTGTCCCGTGCACAAAAAAGCAAACAAGACGATATGTACCAACTATATAGGAATAAGTGTCCTTCGCATCCCATCTAATGTGTTATCCAGCGTGAACGACTGAACTCAATGACATTATTGGACCATACCAATGCGGCTTCAGGCCTGGCAAATCCTCCATTTAACATCCACCATTTTCCAGATCCTGGAAAAGACCCACGAAAAACATATCGACACATTACACTTACTCATCGACTATAATTCGACAGCCCTATCCGTTCAGAGGTGTTTAAAGCAATGTTTGCGTTTGGCGTAGGGTAAATTAAAATGGCACAAGGCCAGCAGTTAAAGTCGGAAAGGACCTCTTAGAGCCCTTCAATACCGAACGATTGTTCAGACAAGGTGACGGTGTGTCGTGTGACCTTTTTAATATCCTGCTGGAAAAGGTCATACGAGATGCAAATGTGAACAGAAATGACGCTCTGTACACCAAACATCATATGTTACTCGCCTACGCCGACGACATCGACATAATGGGTCGAAGATGGCAAGCCGTAACAGTCACGAATTTAACGAATTCAGAAGCAGTCCGCAAAAGTGGGAATGACAGTAAATGGCGAAAAGACCAAGCTGATGGTATCAACGCGCTAGACGTCAAGTAGACTAGGACCAAGTGTGGAACTTGAAAACTAGAGCTTTGAGGTAGTAAACGATTTTATATACCTCGGTACCGCCATAAACAAAACTAATAACATCAGCTTTGAAATCCGGAGGAGAATAGTGTTGGCCAACAGATGCTACTATGGTCAAGCAACTCAAATGCAAGGCCACCTCTCGCCAGACCAAACCTAAACTCTACCGTCGAATGATCCATGAGTTGTTCCATCTATTCTCGGACATCGACATAGTCGGACGTATCGAGCTGGCGCGACTACGTTGGCCAAGTCATGTTGTGAGAATGGATGAAGATGCCCCAGCTTAGAACGTATATAAAAGCGAGTGAAGTGATGGTTCACGAATCCGATGGAAAGATCATGTAGAAGACATCATCTTGGTAAGGGCTCTTTAAAATTGGATGATATGCGCACAAGATCGACGCGCTTGGAATGTTTTTTAAGCTTAGCTTATGGGCAACCGTTCTGCCATAAGCCAGCTAAGTAAGTAATGGAGCAGTGAAACTGTAGTTTTGCGTTATTTTTTTAATTGTGATATAATCGATTTAAGAAAGGCATATGATTATGCTCGTCATGGTCGTCCGAGCAACTCGACAACTGATGAAAGCATCGAAGCAATGAAGAAAATTATTTGGAAAACCACCAAAGAGGTTGCTGATGATATGGTGATGTCGTTCAGCTCACGCCTAACAATGTTTACGGATGATTCAGCGGTAGCAAAGATATCTCCAAAATTGCTTAATTTTGAGCTAATACATCAGCGCATTGTCATCGCTCAGGAGCTGTTGAACATCGTCAGATTACTTCAAAGAGATCGTAACTGGTGAAGAATCAAGTTCGGTCAAATGTGAATGCGAACAAGGGGGCCATACGGCCAATAAGGAATGAAGACTTGAATTTACGCACCATTATAATGCCCGATGTCAAACGTTGACGCTTGTGATGTAGTTTATGGCCAAAGACAAAACCGTTGTCATGCCTTAACCAAGGTCTTCGCCGGACTTGGCCACCGCTATCGCTTCTCTCTTCTCACAATTAAATCGTTTTTCTACGATTGAGGAGAATTTTTCGTGGATTGGAAAAAAGCTAGCGTATTATATCAGAGGAGAGGGTGGGCTACTTTAATGGGGCGTGATAGGCATTGATGATTAAATAAATGGTTCATTTTGTTCAGACTTTAACGGTTCATTTTTCAGATTCTATTTAGATTTCGTAGATGTGTAATTTGTACGAGGTATTATTAACAATAAAATTGTTTGACAGATTTTTTATGGAATTTCAAAATTTGGCCAAATTTTTAACAATGCAGCAACAACACAATCACTCAGTTCTCCACACAGCTAACCACAATAATTTCACTTTAAGTATACAAAATTGTATGCTTGAAAGACTTCTGTATTCACTTAAAATTTCAATCTAATAAAATCTTTCAACAGATTTTGAGTAATTATCCTTTGAAACGTTCTTTGAATTTTTATTTTTCAGATGCATTTCATTATTTGTTATAATTCATTCATAATTTCTGCAAAATATATTATCCTTTTGATTTTATAGCATATGTCCTTGATGTATTAATATATTTCCATATAATTGTGAATTATATATTATCACATAAAAAATATATATTTTTTTTAAGGATCAAAGGACCTTCATGTGTCCTTCGTATGCACTATTTTATGATTCTTATCCTTTTGTCATATATTTTAATTAAGGGTTTCGAAAATCAAAGGATTTTTTATGTCCTTCGAAGTGAATTAATTTATTATATATTCCCATTCAATTGTCACATTTATTTCATTAATTTTTTCCTTCCAGGATCACAAGGATTTTTACCGGTTTCAATATCCTTTTCCACTATTTTAGTCCTTCCTTTCGTTGCGTATCCTTTCCGCTATACCGTTAGATTGGTTTTTTATCCGACCGAGCGTGCAGTTTAAACTGCAGCTAAAAACTAACTGAACGCTTTCAAAATCTACAGCAAGACTTTTAGCATTGAACCGACCGAATAAGTCAAACGACCGACCGAATAATTGAAACCTTATATAAGTTTACACTAGAAGAAATTTTAGACAGCCAGCCATATACACTGTAAATAATTTGGGTCGCCCGACGAAAAGTAAATGGTAGACTGGAGCATTGAACGATTGGCGCCCAATTTAAGGTTAATTGCATTAGGGAATTATGCGAACCAACCAACGAACGAACGAACGAATTTTGTAATAAGAGACGACGAACAAGAATAAAACGAGGAAAAAGGCAAATCACCAGACCAATAGTGCCAATGGGGAAGGTAGTCCGTCTGACAGAAATTGTAACACGTTCTGCAAAGCAATTCACATGACAGATTAGTTGTTGTTGTTCTTGCCTCTTGGTTGATTTTCTACCATGGTTTTTGGCATTGAAATAAATTAGTATTTTCTGTGTGTGGATGTTTGTTGAGGTGTCAAAGAAGGTAAATCTGTTACGTAGGTTTGTTTGCTGGATATTTTACACGATTATTGTCGAAATACTGCCTTCAAATATAATTCAGAAGCTTCAATTTACAGAAAAAAGTTTTTTAGCTCTAGAAAATTATTAGAATGATCTATGTAATGACTTCTGTTAATTGAATACCTCAAAAATTTCTTATATATAGAGGACCTATAGACCAATATAAATGAGTAGAGAAGGCCTTCTATTTATGTATATAAAAGAGTTATAGAAGTTGAGATATCTACAGAAATTATTATATTTAAAGAAGATCTATTGTGACTCCCAAAAAATGTTCGTATACGACATACCAGAGCCGCCTGGAAGAGGACTGTCATTAACATACCCTGATGATGTGTTACTTGTACACGAGGCCGCTTTGGAAGCACTGTGGAAAGAAGATTGAATGTGTACATGGAAACACTTCACAACTACTTCAAGAACTTCAGCTCAATGTTGGAAAATGTGTATTGATAGTTTTCAAGGGCAAACCCAAGTCCACTGCAAAGAGTTTCCGAAAATAGAATCCAACTATATAGGTTGGAAATGAATTCATAGGAGTGTCAGACAGGATGAAATACCTTGGGATGATCCAGCACGAAATATTCGACTTCTGATGCCATGTGGATTATGTGCTATCAAAGGCCAAAAATATGAACTCTGAAAGACTCTTTCTGAATGCAAGGAGGACTTTCTTCGGACGTAAAGTTGTTAATATGCAATTCGACCCATCATCATCTACTCCTTTGCTTCATGGCAGCAACCCAAATGGAAAGGATTAGAAAGTGGGAGAGAAATATATTGGCATCATGTGTGGGAGTGAGACCAACACTGGATAGCAATGGAATTTACATTCGGAAAATCTACAATGCACTCGACTTCAACCGAATCGATGTCTGTATGATGAAATATGCCCTCAACTTCCTGGAAAGAAGCCACATTGTGGAAATGGAGCAGTGGAGCAATACCTGGAGTGCAACGAGGAACTTCACTACATACATAGAAGAAACCGCTCTGCAGCTTTGTTAAGACGCGAGACGGAGGAATCCTATACGATAAAGATGACCGGCTGATGTACTAACTTCGGTTGTACAACAGATTTGACGCCGATATTGAGCTTGTATATAGCACAGCTCAATAAAATAGAAATCGGAGGAAACACCTCCCCCCTGCAGCTTTGCTGTAGCTGCGAGACTGAGGAATCCTTTAGGTGAAGATGACTGGCTGATGTACTATCATCGAATGATAATCTTCTGCAGATGGATGGTTTTAAAATATTAAAATATATTTAAAATATAAAATATATTGGCTCTGTCCTTAGAAGACATTAAAGTTTCTATAAATAAAATAATAAAAGTTTCTATAAATAAAAATACCATAGAGGGTGTTCTATTTATAGAAGATCTGATATTTAAAGAAGATTTGTAGAATGTTGTCTGTTTATGGAAAGTCATGTAGAAGCCATTTAAAATGCCATGTTAAATGTTTTCTTCTAGAATCTCTACCTCTATTATGCCTATATGGCGTCTTATATATACATGAGATCCATACATATTTGTTCTAAACTTAGAAGACTTGAATAAAGTATATACATACGACCTGTGAAATGTCTTCCATTCATAGATGACCTATATTCTATTTATACAAGATATTCTTATATAGGGGACCTTCGCATAGTATTCAATCTATAGGAGAATTATAGAAGACCTTCACCACATATGAGACCTGTCTTAAAATATTAGAAAAAATAACACAAGTTTTTTTTACATAATTATTTAATAAATAATAATATTAAATTTATTTTTGATATTTTTCACATAATATTTTTGGTAGAATTTGTTTTGTATCTGTTTTTTCTTCTTTCTTTTTTTTGTGTTTATTTGTGTGAGTTTGTTATTGTTAATTTGTTGTTTTTTATTTTTATAAAAAGTTTCTTTTAATTTTTTGTGGCATTTACTTTTATATATTTTATCATTTTATTTCCTTTCACTTCTACTGTGTTTTTTGTTTTGTTTATTTTTTTTCCTTCCTCCTCTTCAATTACACACACTTATCCATTCTTCAACATGACATTCATCGCATTCCACATTGCAGCACCATTGAAATTTACAATGACAACGTTCGGCACGACGTTCCTTAACTAAGCTATAACCACGGCCGCAGCACAATGAGGTGCAGCCATCACTTAAAGTACTATTGCGATTACATTTGCGACCCACTGTGCCTGTAAGTGAACATGAAAGGAGTGAAAGACAATTATTAGTTAGTTTATGGTTAATTGATAGGGATTATAAATAAAATATTAAAATATATAATATAAAATAAGGAAGGCTCTAGAAAATTTAGTTCGATATCGGTAAATCTACCGAATATTTTATATCAGTATAAAGCTGGGCACATACATGAGGGACATCGTTATGCTGAAAAACTAAATTTAACACTTCTCTATGCTATATATATATATATATATATATCTTAGATTGATTATGTATAATCTTATCTTAGATATATATATTATTTCTCAACGGCAGTATTAATATCATATATTGTCAGCAATTTAAATTTTTATTTAGTAACATGTCGATGCTGGCGACATCTGTGGTAAACCGCAGTAACTACACATTCATGGTTTACATATTGACAATTTTTAGTGAAGACACAAATCGCACTGCCTTATCGACAACATAGCATAAATAGACTCCACATTTTACTGTTACTGTCATTTACAATACTTAACTTCAGCGCTATCCCCCAATCTATTTTGTCTTAATATGTGTGTTTTACATTGTGTGTATTTATATAATTATAACGGTATTATTACGAAGAGACATATATGTTTGAATCGGATTTAGATTTGTTAATCATGTCAGAGTCCTATCTTCATTAGATGGCGCCCAATCTCAATTTTGGACGATCAACTTCGTCTTTAAAGTTCTTCAAGTACCTATCGTCTAATTACTTTATTTCGCTGGCTTGTGACAGCACAATGTTCTGGCGCGTCGGTCTTAAATGTTGTCTTTCAATTGATCTTTCTATAGGATTCGTGGTCTTCCCCTTCTGCGTGAACCATCAGTTGACATTTCTGTTCACATTTGCATCTCGTATGACCTTTTCCAGCGGGGTGTTAAAAAAGTCACACGATAAATTGTCACCCTGTCTGAACCAGGGATGCGAAATGAAATTATTCAAATTGTACTAGCTTTCAATAAAAAGTGTACTTTTTTCTGTCCGATTGTACTTTTTATATATTTTTTAATAAAATTGTTATTGTTATTAACAATTAATATAAACATAAATAAAAAATTAATGAAGATTTGAAGCAGTAATTAAGATTAGAAGCAGCAGTTCCTTTCGTTGGTTTTAATTATATTTTGATATGAAAATACCCTTTCCACATTAGTAGATGAATGTGAAATATATAATAACCCTCTAAAAATTTGTGATATATAAGGAAACATATCTTTGTTTAGTATATTTTTGACTTCAGTCACCTTGACCAACAAGTGCATATATTGTCGTTTTTGAAAGACTTAATAATTTCTACATGCATTCTGGCATCCTCAGACTGCATTTCTAATTTGATATTATTTAAAATGTTTGTACATATTGCAAGAACGCAAATAACAGTAATCAGTAAGAAAGAAGTAAAGTCGGACGGGGCCGACTATATGATACCCTTCACCACTTTGGGTTATTCAACAGATGAATCTTAACAGACTTCGCATTTTTGAAGGACCAGTAAAATGAAATTGGATTCTGCCACCTATACTAAATTTTTCATTTGGTCAGATATAGAGCTGCTTCTTACAATGGGACAAAATTATTTAAATCAATTTAAATATCTGATAAACATGAATCTGAACCGATTTCTTAGTAGGTCTTTAGTGCACAATTTACATAAAATCGGAACAAAAAATATATAAGAGATATATCTAAATCTGAACCAATTTCCACGAAAATTAGCACAGATCATGCTAGACTTAATTCAGTAAGCCATGCCCAATTTTGTGAAATCGAAAGATATATAGAAACTTTGGTACACCATTTACTTTAAATCGGACGAAAATATATATGGGAGCTACGTCTAAATTTGAACTGATTTTCACGAAATTTAATACATATATTTCTAGATTTAATTCAGTACGCTATGCCAAATTTCGTGCAAATCGAAGGATGTATAGGGACTTTGGTGCACTATTTACCTAAAATCGGACGAAAATATATATGGGAACTATATCTAAATTTGAACCGATTTTCACGAAACTTAACACACATCATTCTAGACCCAGTTCATTACGCTGTGCCAAATTTTGTGCAAATCAAAAGCTATATAGGGACTTTGGTACACCATTTACATTAAATCGGACGAAAATATATATGGGAGCTACATCTAAATATGAACCGGTTTTCACTAAACTGAGCACACGTCATTCTAAGCTTAATTCAGTACGCTATGTCAAATTTCGTGCAAATCGCAAGATGTATAGGGACTTTGGTACACCATCTACATTAAATCGGGCGAAAATATATATAGGAGCTGTATCTAAATCTGAACCGAATTTCAGGAAACTTAACACACATCATTATAGGCCTAATTCGTTACAATTTGTCAAATTTCGTACAAATATATAGATATATAAGGACTTTGGTACACCAGTTACCTTAAATCGGACGAAAATATATATGGGAGTTATATCTAAATCTGAACCGATTTTTCACCAATTTCAATATGGTTCGTCCATGGGCCAAATTAATGAGATGTGCCAAATTTCATCCAATTCGAATAATAAATGCGACCTGTAATTTGTTTACAATTTAACATGGACAGATAGACAGACGGACGGACATGCATAAACTTAGAAAGTGATTCTATGCATATTCTCAAAAGGAACCATGTATCTATCTCGTTTCCTTCTGCCTGTTACAAACATATGCACAAAGACATAGTACCCTGTACCACAGGTGGTGAAGGGTATAAAAATGGTTTGACAATTCTGAAATAATAGAATTGAGCCTTAACTTTTGGGAATCAGCTTCCAAATCATTGAGTGTAAAATAATATTGAAGTGATTCCCACTGAGCCAAAATTGTTTCAATAACTTCTTGACGTGAGAGCCATCGAATTGTTGTACCGCAATCTTCCTGAAACAATGAAAAATCATCATATTGTATGTTTAAGCACTTATAATACTTTTAAGTGAGAATAGTTTGATACAATTTAGAAGTAGTGCTAAATATGTCATTGGGGTGCTATTGTATTTTTGACTTCAAATAGTGCTAAAATTAGTACAATTGTACCAACTTTTGCATCCCTGGTCTGAACCCTTGTTCAGTGTTGAAGGGTCCCCATAGGTCCTTTCCGACTTCAACTGCTGCCTTTGTGTCAGTTTAAGTTAAGTTTATTTTGCAGGCATGTCGAACATAGGCATGGCTTTAAACACCTCAGAACGAATAAGGCTGTAGAATGCGCTGCAATTTTCAGTCTGAACCCTTGTTCAGTGTTGAAGGGTCCCGATAGGTCCTTTCCGACTTCAACTGCTGCCTTTGTGCCAGTTTAAGTTATCCTGCATAGCCGTATTTAATTTGCAGGAATGTCGAACACAGACATGTCTTTAAACACCTCAGAACGAATAAGGCTGTCGAATGCGGCTTTATAGTCGACGAATAGATGAAATGTGTCGATGTGTTTTTTGTGGGTCTTTTCCAGGATTTGTCGCAGATTGAAAATCGACTAAGAACCATAAACCTGTCGGGCTCAGCTCAATCCATGATAACTACTCGCAGGTCCTGCGCTACCCCTGGTTGAGAATCAAGGTCGCTAGGTGTCGGTTTCTAGGCTTCCTTCTTCGAGACGACGGGTTTGGCTTTCATCTCACCCTTAGCACTCTTGATAGGATTCTCCATCGGCGTGACCGACGTGTACAAAGCTGTTTGTCGTGCATCTAGCGACTGCGTGGATCTTTTTGCAACAGGTTGCTGCTCATCCGAAGACCTCATTATCTCACAGCCTTAGGCGGTGTTCGAGATTCGGTTCCCAGAGTTGCAGCTGTAGTATTCGCCACTTTTGGTTTATCCAGCAACAACTGAGCAATTGTCATAACCCTGAATTTGGATTTTAGCAATTCAACAGTAGGCGAATTGGCAGGGGTATAGTTATTTTCTCAGAGGGAGGTTGTGTTTTATCAGCCTTCCTAAGCGCTCTTCTGCGACATAATTTTGCCTTCCTTCGCAGTGGAGGATGGTGTCCGGGACAATCGGGGATCCCTTGGAGGGTGATAAATGATCAGAAATCTTAGCCATCATCGTCCTGGTCTTGGCTCAGGCTACCCACAGTATTTTCCTCTTTTAGAGGGGCAACTTTGGTTGACTTCACACGTCACGTAGGAATTCTTTTAATTAAGGAGTCACTCGCAATGTCATTCGGATAGTTTCGAATGGATTGAGATTCCGTATCAGTAATTAAGTCGATGTCCCGTCTTATGGATGCATGAGTTAACTGCTATCTAGTAAATCTTCTTGGTAGTTTTTTGTACTGATGATTCATCTATCGTTTCGATGGGGGGATCATCAGCATCAGCCTCCACTTCAACGGTCAGCTGTCTCAGAAGTCTCGAGATAAGGTCCGTATGCCCATCCAGACTTGCATTGACATCGTCACTGTAGTGCTAATCACAGTGGTATCCATAGTGTATTCCTCGTCTGTCAAGGACGAGTCATCCCAGAATTGAGACGAGATACTCTCCTGGCTAATGCGGAGGGAGCAAGTTTTCTCTATAAGGTAATGGAGAAGGTCCGTATGCCCCTTTAAAAAAACCTTTTGTACCGAAATGTCACTTCAAAGTATTTGGTTAAGCCCCTTTACAAAAAACCTTTTGTACCGAAATTACATGAATTAATTCTAAAGAAGGGCATCTTCTTTGTAGTAAACCCTGTTGGGATAGTACCGAGATCCAATCAAGTAATTCAAATAAATTATTCACTGAATGGAACTACGAAAACAAGTTTTAATCCTTTAAATAGTTTTAGTAATAAATATATTTAATTATATACACAACTTTCATAGAATATCAATCAAATTATTAACTGTGGGAGATTCAAGTTAAAAGAAATACAAATTTCGAAATTATCAATTAAACAATCCTTATTTTATTTGAAAATAACAAACCCGTATTTTTGTATTTACTTATAAGACAGACACCTAATTTTACAAATTAAATCAATTTATAATTTTTTATTTGCAGCTTACAAAAACAACCAAAGTATATAATTAATGTAATTTTATAATGGCCACTTTAAAATAAAATTTATTACATGTTCAATCGTCGTCGCGGTCGATCATGTCTGTTGGGTGGCAAGTAACGTTTCGCCACTTCATTACTTGTGAATTGTTGTGGGGTGTCATGCTAAGCATTAAAAAATGTGTTAAATTAAAAAATATATTGAAATAAGTCGACATTGTGGTGCACTAAACCGGAGATGATCGCAACGAACACTTTTACAAATTTATTAGTCAAATAAAATGTCGGTCCTTATAACAAAAGAAAATAAGTAAAGTTGGGCAATTTTGTTCCTGATGTGGTTCAATCTTTTTCGGTTCACTCCGCAGAAGAAAAATGGGCGAGAAGATCTAGATGAACTATTAAATCAAATGGAACGAGATTTAAAAGGAACGAAATGAACTAAATGAACAAAACTAAACTGTGTTGGATCCGATCGTTCCTTTTGAAGAATAGTTCAACTGAACTAGTTCATTTCGGAACCACCCAACAACACTTTTGGTATGTTCCCGTACTGCAAGAATCTACCATTTTTTACTCCGATAACACTTTTTTCCTTTATGATATCGAAGAAAATAGTAAAATCGAGTAGATTCTTGCAGTACGGAAACAGACCATTTATTTAATATAACTTTTTTATCTTGAAAGATATCATGAATAATTATTTTAGGTTGTCACATAAGTTTCTTCCCTTTTCAAACCGATTTGCATATCCTATGTTGATCAAATGCCTATGTACCGTTGTCTTGGGAATATAAGTGTCATCCATTATCTCGTGCATACTATATCGCGGATTTTCAGCGAGTACAGTCTTGATAAGGTCGGCATGTGTCGTTACTGGACGTCCGCTGCGGTCTTCATTTTGCAAATAAAAATTGTCGGCTCTAAATTTCTTAAACTAATTGCGGGCGGCCCTAATAGTCGTAGTACCACTCATGTAATCGGGGCAGAAACAATTTTAAAATAGGGTTTGTCACCAACGAAACGTACTTTGAAAGAGCTCTGGGACGACTAAAACCGATGCCATAAACGGCTAAGAGAATAGAAGCATAGCCAGTCAGACTCATTCATAGGTTGCAGCGGGAGAAACTTATGTTGGTGTATTTCCTCAATGAAGAATATGATGTGTAAATGGATGATGTGTATGGATTGTGATCGTCCTTGTGGAAAACTGTCAATAAAAATGCAATACTTTTATTTCTGTGTTTGGTCCTTCGAGCCAAATCTATGGTAATGCTCAACTGCAACTTCGATTCAACTTGCCATTTCATTCTCTCCTCGGTCAGTGGTGTTTGTAGGGTACAACAAAGAAATGCTTATCACAAATTGTATTTCGTTTTTCATTTTTTATTAATAAATATGAACGGCAAATAGTAAATGCTGAAGAAAAAAAACAAAAACTTATAAAAAATATATAATTTTTTATTAAATAATTAACACTTTTTAACTACAATCTGTCAATTTGCAACAGCATGAGTTACGACTTTTGAGATTGTTTTCTGTTGGTTTTTTCGCTTCGATATTGAGATGCAATTTTGTTGGCGTCTGTCCGCCAGTCCGTGCCCATGTCCGTCTGTCTGTTGATCTATGCGCCATTTGGCTGGGTGTCTGGGGTGTGTGTAAGCAAAGTGAGCGAGCAAAACCGTTTTAGTCTGTCCGTCCGCCTGTTGGGGCTGAAGACAAGGTAAGGCATTTGATTGGAAGTCAGACATCGTTACGATGATAATGATGACCGTGGTGGTGGGACGTGTTTGCTTGGAAACCCAAAGTCTTGGTGTTAAGACATCGATGACGATGACGACGATGCTATTAAAGTTTGCTTTAAATTTGTCGTCCACCACCACGTTTAAGCTTAAGCGTTCCGTTCGTTGCCGTGTAAATCGAACATGTTCGATCGTTCGTTCCTTCCTTCGAGTCCGTCGTTGTCCATTCACAACACACAGGTTTTGTTTTTGTCGCTTGAATATATTTATTGTAACAGATTTGCATATTTTATTAATAAGATTGTCAATTAAGAAGTGTTTATTGGCAAGATATGACCGACCAAGCCGATTCGACAACCGGGCGACTCACGCTGTAAGCACGTTTAAGCCGTTTTTGTTTCAATTAGCAAATTATTATCGGACATTGTTAGTTGCAATTAATCAGTTTGTTGCTAATTGGGAGGCGTTGTTGTTGAAAAGTTTTAGCAGTGATTAATTGAAAGCGGAACATAGTGGTGGTGTGGTGGTCGTTTTTTGGTGAGAGGATATTTCAATTTCAATTAGATTAGATTTTGTAGAAGATTATTGAAAATATATATTATTTTGCTGAGTTGAAAATTTTTGGATCGTAATTAAATGTGAAAATGTTGGAGGAAAAGAAGGAAATAAATGTCCTTCAGATGTTTCAAACTTATAAAAAAACAAACTTACTGTCGAGCCTATATTGTCTAAATGGAAAAGGAAGGGCCGACTTTCACTTTCTTTGCACACACCCTCTCCCATTATCGCCTCCGTTAACAGACCATCCGACTTTTAAGCCTCTCCCAGGTCCTGGGGGAAAATTAACATTCCATTGCCGCTAGCTATATACCTGCTGGACGGATACCCAAAATAATTCTTTCAACCGAGACGACCGTACTGATCAATAGAGTTGTGTCGTTTCAGAACGAGCTAGTTCAAAGGAACTATTCCGAACTGTCTCAGTTCGCTAGACTGACACCAGGTCTGATAAATGACGCCAACTGGCAGCCCGTCATTTATCTTGCTCAGACCACCTCCCCATCCATCTCCATTAGCAGACCGCCTGATTTAATCATCTCTGAACGCCGCACTTTCCTTATCCATAGGAAAGCCAACTGGCAAGGATTCAGAGATTTCAGAAAACGTTTCATTCCTTCTGATGTACGGGTAGCAGAAAGGAAATTCCGAGACATCATTACAGCTGCAGTCGCTAGATTTATACCTGCTGGTCGAATACCCGAATTATGTATCATAATTTCCCAACAGAAGCAGTTGGTCTAGCAATTGAGCGTTATGACCTCCGTCGATCTAACCCAGCAGATCCCAGGGTCAGGGAACTTACGTTGGAGGTCAGCAGATTAGTCGTGGAGCATCTGAAGTGTTAAGTCGCTCTCGAACCCTGGCAAGAAGGATGATAGGACCTCAGCCCCATTTAACGACTAAACTGTGACTGATTTGAAGAGATGCGCGAGAGACAGTCGAACATCCCGAGAGCGAAGCGAAGAATACTTCATTGTATAAGATTACTTCCAGCCGAGGAGCAACCACCACAGTTCACGATGGGTGATGTTGCATGTGCCATCCGTAACGCGAAGTCATCCATATATATGCTGCATCTGGGCGAGCCAGGAGTCGAGTATTTGACCAACATCCTCAACTTGTCGATAACCACCCACGTCATTCCCGAACCCACGTCATTCCCACTATTGAAGCCGAGCAAGGATGCCAGTAAAGGTGAATCTTAGATGAATTCCGTAAGCAACACAGTACAACAACAGCGTTGTGCGCCATCTCCATGATTCACCAGAACCGGCCGTGCGATAGATGAACGAAATAATATTCCTTTTGCGGAATAGTCCTTCTGAACTAGTTCGCTCCGGAACGACCCAACTCTAAGTTCACTTGTCTCCCTATTCACTATCGACGAAGCCAATACAGATTGAAACATACTTGAATTATATATATATTTTTCTCGACCTTTAAGACTCTCTTTTGCATTTTTTCGAAGATGGCTTTGGATTGAATAAATTGAAGAAAATTATCTTAAAGAACTAATTTTTATATCGAAACCAATCGATGTGACCTTTGCCACTTTGATCTCAATCTCATTCCTTCAATATTTTTATAAAACATCTATCCTGCGAATAATATAAACTTACCCAAAATATCAGCAGATGGATCTTTTTCACAAAAATTCGGTGATCTTTGGTAGTAGAACAGGGATGTCTCTAATTTACGGGCGGATCGTTGAGCATTTTTCTCAGTATTTGATTTGGCATTTGAGGGGCGTTCGTGTCGCTCCCCCGTACGTTCACCATTACCATTGGCATTATTCGACTTTTTATTGCGTGAACGTTTCAGGACAACAATGGGTTCGCCATTACCCAAATTCGATTGATCGACCAGTAAGGCTCGACGAAATTGATGTTTGAGGACTTTGCCAACGACGTGGAAGTCGGGAGCAGATTTCCAGCAAGTTTTCAGTTGACAGCTGCCCGACATGCCGTGGCATTTGCAGCGGAATTCCATGTTATTGGAGACGGCCTGTAATAATAAAACAAAGGTTTTAATAAATATCCGAAAAGAAGGGTTTCATTCGACTTACAATTCTCCCAGCATGATTATTATGTAAATTTATTTTCGACTGTATATCCCCGGCCTTTTCCCGGCAATCGAGAAACAATTTGGAAAATTCCACACCAAAATCCATGTTATGCGAACAGCCACCCCATTTCCAGCGACTGGCAATTTTCGAACGTTCGTATTTCTTTTCATCTTCGGGATTCAGAATCTGATTTGTCTCCAAATACTGTAAGAATAGTTTCTTCTCTTTGTCCAGACTTTGACGGAGATTTTTATTGAGGGTTTTGCGATTCACCGATGGATCACAGCCACAGGACATTAAACGACCCTGGCTGCAGGCTCGGGCCACACTGTGGGCCACTCCGGCCGCTGAGATGGCAAAGGCAAATGCACTCTCACGATAACCTGCAAAGAAAAGAAAGGTATTTTTTAAAAATATCCGACATGGTCTCAATGCAAAAAATGCAATTTCATTTTTTAGTTGTTGTTCATTGCCACCATGTAAGAGGAAAATGACCTTCTGGAAAATGTAAGGAATGTGTCATTACATGTGCCACCATCCAACAACCATTCATCCATACGCGTCCAGCAGCAAACAATGAAAGTAAACGACGACAGTGTCAGGCCGTAAACTTGAGCTTTTGTGCTAATCTTCTGTTGGTTGGCCGGCCATAACATTTCCCATGGGAATTGTTTCACAGCATTTTTGTGGCCCGACAACACTTCGTCGACAACGATTCCCTTTGAAACCAACACACACACACAATGAAACCTATGTATGTAATGCAGATTTAAGTTTTGGTTGGATCCTCCACTGCAACGGATCACCGTCCTCCGCCATCGAACATAGTCCCTTTGTATGTAGTCGACATATTTCAGAGCAAGTGTGACATGCCGTTCAGTCGTCGCAGCTTAACGTGTCCTCCACCAAATGTCGTCGCTGTTTTCTTTAATAGTTGCAGATTTTTAATAAGATTTCTGTTTCGATTGTGTAGTTGTTATTGTTAACTTATGCAACAACAACAACACTGGGTAGACCGACCTGTAAATGATTGGCATTTCACTTTTATTTTGTTACGCATTCTCTGTGTCCAAGGATGGCTCAGCTAGTCATCCATCCATCTCTTTTATATCTTTTCGGATAATCATAGAGATTGAGAAGAAGAAGAAAAACAGCATCAGGACAACTAACAATTGTGCGTATGTCTGTGCTGTTTTTTGTTCGGTTGGTTGTATCATTTAACGAAAAACATTGTCATTACAAAAGGTAAAACTGTTCTATGGGACACCGACGCAGATGGGTACAGTGAATCAAGGCGACAATTAATCTTTAAGATCGTCAGAAGTCAGGAATTTAAATGAAGACTTCTTTAGAAGGGCTTTAAATGCCTACTATATTTAGAAGTCATAGAGAAATTTGTTTTTAGGAGGCCTCCAAGATAATCTATCCTTACATGACCTTAAATATAAGTTTTCTATTTTGATTTTAAGTTTTCTTCTTCTTTGTTATGCCTGGTCTAGTTTCTTCTTAGTAGTTTATATTCTTTGTCATCAGAACAATCATTCATATCAACACTTGTTTGATATATTGTATTAAGCATTTATATCGAAATAATTTGGAAAATACATATGCGAATTTTCTAGCACCATGCAGAGGTCGGTAAAATAAAGAAACAATGGAATGCAAAACTAGTGGAAAGTCGTCGGTTGTTAGCAACAGAAGTCAGATACTAAAACAAAACATAGCCGAACAATGAATGTGTGACTTTTTTCTTGGGAGGAAAACATTTGTTTTTGTAAAAAGAGGGAGAGAGCGATAGGGGGAGAAAAAATGAGCGCAAATAGAGTTAAGCAGAGCAATGTAGGAAAATAGTTGCGATGTTAATGAATTTTTTGCATTTTTTGGAACAAATGGTGCCTTTTTATAATAGGAAAATTTCCCTGTGTTCTATGAATGAAATTATGAAAATATTAATTAATTTTGTTTGCAAAGTAGGATAATAGTTGTGATTTTAATGAATTGTTTACATTTTTGGAATAAATGGTGTCTTTCTTATGATTACGACAACTTTTCCTTGTATTCTAAGCCAGGCTCATCATCTATATAAAAATGAACTATTATTGAAATTCTGGAAATATTCATTTTATTTATTATCGGTGTAGACTAACCGTCTTATATTTATAAAATATATTTGAAGATCTCGTATAGAATACCATGGAGAGGTATTTTGTCTATAAAAATATGTTTGGAAATCTTTTTAAAAGACACTAGGAGATCTTTTATTTGAAGATGGCCTTTGAATGTTTTCAAAGTGTTAAATATTTTTGGAGGCCGTTTCCTTATAAAATACCTTTGTAGGTCAGTAATTTATAATCGGAGATCTTTTATCTATAGGCGAACTTTCGATGTTGTCAGGCTATAGAAGACCTTTAGAGGTAGTCTATAAATAAATAATATTGATATACACTTTACTCCAATGGTATCCATATTCGGGACCTTTGGTGGTCGTCTCTTTATAAAATAACATTTATTTCAAATCACCTCCAAAAGTCTTTTAGACCTTTGAAAGTCTTGAGGCCTTTGGACGCCTTTAATTTGTAGTAGATGTTTAATGGTTTTCTATTTATAAAATAACCTTAAAGGTCTTCTATTTACTGAAGACCTTTGGAGAACTTTTAATAGAAGACTTTTAAAGGTGTTCTATTCAAAAAGAAGAACCTTAGAAGCTTTTTATATAAATGTCTTTAAAGGTCGTATCTTTATGGAAGCCCTTTATAGAAGCTTGTTAAAAGTCTTGCATCTATTGAACGCATTTGGATATTTGCATGTCTTTTTCTAATAGAAGACATTTGGAAGGTATAACCCCCTTTTCGAGAAGAACAAGAGCTTTAAAAGTCTTCTATTTCAAAAAAGAACTTTAAAAGAGGTATATAGAATTTATAGAAGTTCGTTCAGAGTCTTAAATTTGTTAGACTCATTTGAATATTTGCATGCCTGTTTTTAATAGAAGATTTTTGACGACTTTTAGAAGTATTTTATGTATAGAATCGCTTCTGAAGTTTAGCATTTTTAGAAGGCTTTAGAGGTTCTTCTATTTATATAAAATCGATCAAAATCTTATACAAAGAAAAAAATATTTAAAGAATATGTTCATATAATCGTGAGAAAGCCACTATTTTTTCCAAAGAATTAAAATATTTCATTATGATAAAAACAATTTTCCTACTTTACCACTATCTGTGCTCTCTTTTCATATCTCTCTCTCTCTCTTATTTGGCAAAAACAAATGCATTCTTCCGAAAAATAAAACCAACTCGGCAATTCGTTGTTCGGCTGTGTTTTGTTTTAGTATTGTCCTGCCCCCTCCTCTCACGTGGTTTGTTTGACTACTGTTTCTCTTGCTAACAACATTTCCACTCACTAGATTGTGGTTAGTTTTGCATTTCATTGTTTCTTTCTATCAGGCACTGCCTCAGTTATAAAATTCGCATATGCATTTTCCAAATTATTTTGATATAAATGTCAAATAAAATATACCAAACAGGCCGAATGTTTAAATTTCTATAATATTTAAGATTTTAGAAGTATTAATATAAAAAAGGAACGATTAATATTAAAAATAAAATAATTTAAATCATACTTGTTTGTATGGAAACTTTTTTGCAATTGACGAGAGCACATTTCATAATAGTGCTGCAAAGTCCTTTAACTGGGTTTGGCTCAACAGCATCTCCATTTCACAGTCCCTCCATGTTCTTTGCGATTTTCATATTTGAACTAAATTTCGGACTGAAAACATATATTTTATATTTTTAGCGATACAAATTCATATTAACCCTATCCATTTTCCATTTCTTTGCAGTGTCATCCCCCAAACCCCTTTTCATATCTGCTTCCGTCGTCGTTTTATACAAATAAAAGGACATCAAGGTAAGTCACATCTTTGTTCTCTATATATCCACTGTATTGAAATTATATTCAAAATAGTTGTTACCATGCGGACTGTGAATATTTGTGGTGAATTCTTTCTCATAGAAATTCGTTGAGTTCTGCGGTGTGATGAATTCTTCTCCTTGCTCTCTACTAAACAGAGATTATCTTAAAAATTTGTCTACATTTTTTGTGTGTCGTTGCTGCTGCTGTTGCCTTAACCGAGAGGACTAATTAAAAATGTGTTTTTAGTTATCTCAACTCTCTACCATGGTTGCAGTTACAGAAAAAGTATATGGTGGTAATATAAGGGGAGAATATTAGCAGAACAAACCATGAGCGTAGAAAAGGCACCGAGTCTCTAGCAATTGCAATTTCTTCTTATTAAGTGAACACATTATACCTTAATAATGACAAAAATAGCACCTCCATCTCTCCCATCGTTAGAGGTCTATATAGAACATAAGGATCTTGTTTGTGGTCCGTATAGAATAGGAAGAGCAGGTTAGTGGTTTATATAGGATGGGAGGAACTCGTTAGTCGTCCGTCTAGAATCGGATGAGCTCGTTAGAGGTCCGTATAGAATAGGAGGAGCTCGTTAGAGGTCCGTATAGAATAGGAGGAGCTCGTTAGAGGTCCGTATAGAATAGGAGGAGCTCGTTAGAGGTTCGTATAGAATAGGAGGAGCTCGTTAGAGGTTCGTATAGAATAGGAGGAGCTCGTTAGAGGTTCGTATAGAATAGGAGGAGCTCGTTAGAGGTTCGTATAGAATAGGAGGAGCTCGTTAGAGGTTCGTATAGAATAGGAGGAGCTCGTTAGAGGTTCGTATAGAATAGGAGGAGCTCGTTAGAGGTTCGTATAGAATAGGAGGAGCTCGTTAGAGGTTCGTATAGAATAGGAGGAGCTCGTTAGAGGTTCGTATAGAATAGGAGGAGCTCGTTAGAGGAGGAGCTCGTTAGTATAGAATAGGAGGAGCTCGTAGAGGTTCGTATAGAATAGGAGGAGCTCGTTAGAGGTTCGTATAGAATAGGAGGAGCTCGTTAGAGGTTCGTAGAATAGGAGGAGCTCGTTAAAGGTTCGTATAGAAATGTAGAAGCTTGTTAGAGGTTCGTATAGAATAGAATAAGCTCATTTGAAGTTCGTGTAGAAGGGTAGAAGGTCGGTAGAGGTCCGTACAGAATAGTATAGAATAGGAGGAGCTCGTTAGAGGTCCGTATAGAATAGGAGAAGCTCGTATGAGAATAGTCTACATAGAATAGGAGGAGATCGTTAGAGGTATATATATATAATATGAATAGATACTGAGAGTTCCGTATTAAATAGCAAGATCTTCAGAAGTCCGTAGTGGAGGTCCATACAGAATAAGGTCACATTGGAGGATTTATTAGAATAGGAATATATAGGAGCTCGTATATATATATAAGGCCTGGGATATATATATAGGAAGCGTTTGACTTTAAGTACATGATACACC